GAAGGCTATGCCAAAAAGAAAAATCATGTTATAATGTGAGAGTGATATTCAGAATAATGTGATGCATAATGTTAGAAGTAAAAATGAATGAAATGTTATTTTAATTTTATTATAAGAATAATAATATGTTTTTCATGTTTAATAATAATAATAATAATAATAATAACGATGGAAATTTGTCACCGTAAGAGGTTTCTCAACTTTAGGTAAAGAACTTTTACTTTTTTACCCTCAAAGGTTTTTCATATCGAACACATGTTTCACAAAATTCACACCATCAATCAGTCATCAAGTTGAGACTGATTCTCAAATTTTGGGATTTCAATCTTACATTGTTGAAGCTCTTTAATTTTCCTTTTCAAATTGTCATTCTCAATATTGCATAAATCTTGTTTCCAAAAGGCATGCATCCACGTCGGTATGAGGGATACCAGAATCAAGATCCTTTTCTCCTCGACCCTGACCACCATGTCCATGACCATGGCATTGTTGGTCATTCGTGAGCAAGCTATTTTTTATACCAACTGATTTTGGTGAACGAATAGAAATAGCCGAAAAAAAGAAAATAATTTCTGATCAAGTATCAATTTGTTTTATTATTATTAAACCTAAATTGCTTACAAGATAAAAGTTCGGTATTTATAAAGTTGAAAATCCTAAAAAAAAGACCAATAAAAAATAATTGTAAAAATAATAAAATAGCGCAAAAAGTAGAAAACAGAAAAATAAAAATAAAAATAAAAAAATACAATTACACCCGTAAAGGAGTTGGTATGAGTAAAGAGTTTGACTTGTGAGGCAATTTTGGTGAGCCGTATGAGTTTCTTCCAATCCCCAACATGAACACATTACAAAAAAAAAAAAAAAAACACTACAACAACACAACAGCAACAACAATAACAACAACAATAGTAATAACAATAATAATAATTAAAATGAGGGGAAATTGAAAAAAAAAATATCTTGTACGTATACTTAATTGTCAATTTTGTCTTTTAATTGTCACCTTATCAAAATATATATTGCACATGTCAGAATTTTGGTATTTTAATACATTGCCGCGTGTGAATTTCTATAACAGTAGCAGTGACTTGCACTTCATGAACATCCCAGCATAATATATCATGTGCATATCACAATTTTACTAAAAATATTATGTACATGCCACAATTTCACTAACAATATCCTATACATATTTTTTATTATCCAATATTGTGTCACGTGTCATTGAATGGCAGAAACACGTGGATTTCGCAAGTTGTGAAACTCACGCGTGGTCAATTTACTGAAGTATACAAATTATGACACTTGTAGGATATATTTTTTGTAGGGTGATAATTAAAGCATAAGAGTGATAATTAGACATATATACGGTTGGATTTAAAATACACTATTCAACCCATTTTTTTCCAAAAAAAACATCAAATCAAACACCTATTTTCATTTTTTTATATTATATTAAAACTCAATTTTACATTCAAAACATCACATCAACACCTATTTATATCACATTATACAACTATTTAAATTCAAAATTTTTACTATTCAAATCTCAACTCAAAATCCAAACCTCCAAACAAACACACCCTTATTGACAGTAGGATCTTAGAAATAGTCATCGTGTTTTGCCTATTTCTAATCCATGGTTATTTCCACAAACTACCTTAGGACACCGGATAATCTTTTTCAAGTTATGTTATTCTGCTACAAGAATATGGTGCACTCTCTACAATAGTAGCAAAGTATATCCAAACAACTAAAGCTTGTAAGTAGTTATTGTGGATGAAGAAATTTAGGGAGAAGCATGACTTCAACCAAAAGAGGTACACAATACTTTGTAATAATCAAAGTGCTATTCATATGGGTAAACATCTCACTATTCATGGCAGATAAACATATACTGACATGCGTTACTATTTTATAAAAGATGTTATCAATTATAAGTCCATTGAAGATGAAAAAGGTTCATGAGAATATGTAATAATGATGCATACACATTGACAAAACCTTTTCCGAGGGAAAAGATTGATATTTGTAGATTGAATGCAAGGATGGCGAATCTCCCTATCAATCAGTTGAGATATGATATTTTATGTATATAGTCATCATTGTAGATCGATCGCAAGGATGACAAAACTCCCTACTAAATTTTTAATTTATTTCTTCAATGTTACTAAATACTAAGAAAATTATCATAATATCCTTTGATGACATACTTTTAAAGTGTCTAACCTAATAATTAAAGGATGTATACAAAAAGAAGTGAGGAGAAAAATGGTGGTTGTCGTGCCTTAAGATCATTCATGCACAAAACTTAAAACGAAAATCTACAAACATTCGACCATCGGATTGACCTCAAATTTTTGTAGCAGTTTCCTAACAAATTTTTTCACAATGTAAATGGTGATGATTGGATTCAGAACACCGTAACGTGTGTTCTGGTCCTCGAATATAGATATCTCTTTTTTATAGTACTATTACAAGTAGTTTTGGTGTTGATGTTGATATGAAAAATCTAACTATTGAATTTGGTTAAATTTTGGATATATTGTTCAAGATAAAATTGGAACGGTGGACGTCATGTTTAGATTTCTTAAGCATCAAATTTTTGGCCGGACAGCTCGTCGTTGTAGTGATTTTTTCACTTTCATCTATTCCTTGACAAGGTTATGCTATATCTAAAAAAAATAAAAATTCATGCTATATATTTTGGTTTATGATATGGGATGAATTTGTTGAACATTTTCTACCATATTTTATTATATTGCTGATTTGCGGAGCTTTGATCCTGTAGCTTTGATCCCTCACATTGGGGTGGTTTTTAATGCAAAATTTTGTTCATGTTCTCTATCAATTGGTTTAATTTGTTCCTCTTGTGTTGTTGTTTTCTTGCAATTATTTCCTACAACACAAGAGAGGGATAATTCATATTTCCTCTACATTGTGTGCTTATTGCATCAGTGTTGTGCTAAATGAAAATTAGTTTAAATTGTAGACAAAATTGTCCATAACTCCCTTGTGGTTTCGAAACTCCGCGTAAATCCCCTATTTACTTTGAAATTGCATGGCGCCTCCTTATATTTTAAAAAATATTGTATGAAACTCCTTTGTGGTTTTGAAACTCAGCGTAAATTCCCACTTTACTTTAAAAATTGCATGTCACCCCTTATACTTTCAAAAATGTTGTATGAAACCTTCATGTCATGCAAAAAATATAAATAGAAAATCATCTTCTCATCACACAAATGAGGTTTCATGGTGGTGAGATTTCATGCAATATTTTTTAAAGTTTAGGGGGGCGTCATATAATTTTTAAAGTACAAAGAGATTTTACGCTGAATTTTGAACCAAACGAGAGTTATGAGCAGTTTTACCTAAATTGTAGCATTTATATAAACATAAATAGTCAATTGAATAATAAACAATAGGAAAAAAATACAAGCGATATCATACCAATCTTGTTTTTTTTTTAAAAGATATATATATTAGTATATTTTTTATTTAATTAATTGAAAATAACACTTATGATGATTTATTTTCCTTATCACATTTATTAAAAGCCATCTATATTTCATATACATGCATATTTATATGAATAATTTTATATTTTCCATTTTTGCATAGATCTTTTCAATATTTTAAACATATCTGTCATGATTTTTTTTCTTAATTATGCAAAATAATATGTATGGCTATAAACATAAAATGATATGGGAAGAATCAAAATTTAATAAAGAATGGATACGCTATTTAGTGGTTCAGAAATTTTCTTCGATATAAATATCATTTTACACTAGAATAGACTACCCCATGAAACTCCACACTTTTGATATTGATTTTTCAATATCATTGTTTCTTAGTTTCCGCGAAGCTATAATACTTTTATATTAACCCCTTTTTTTTACATACACATTCAAGAAGTAAATTATTTACAAATATTTAAGATTATTTCGAGCATAAAGTAACTGTTATGTTGAAAATTTTCTTTTGCGGAGCTTGTAGACTTTCTTTAGGTTTTTATAATTTATAATTTTCTTAAAGATCCCTTTTATTTACCAATGATGATTAAATTTCTTATAATTTATTTTAAAATTTTCAAGGTTAAAAAGTTGTTCAAAATATATATATATAGATGTTGTACCTTTTATTGTTGATGTATATTGTAAATATTTTAGTCGATTTAAACACTATATATATATCTAGCACTAGCTAATTTTCACATCAAATTTTGCAAAATCCTGAGATACACATGCAACTATATATATATATATATATATATATTCTACTACTATTACTTCTACTCTATATATATATACATATATATATTCTAATACTATTACTTCTACTACTAATAACAAAAACAAGGACAACGCAATAGCTACAATAAGGACAACGCATTGATAATTAAATTTTGTTTTAGTTTTTCTTTGATTTATGAAAATTAAACTAGTTGTTAGTTACTACTTTTCTAAGGGAAATGAATGGTATATTGAATTTTTCTAAAAATGAAATCAGAAGAAAAAAAAAAAAAGAAAAAAAAAAGAAAAAAAAAAAAAAGATAGACCCACACTATCACACCATATCTCTTATTCTTAGGTCAAATATTAGGAAAAGAGTAGTATCCAAAATTTATTAACTATATCTAATAAAATTGGTTATTTACATGACAAATTTTTCATAAATAAAAAGTGGAATTAGGACATCAATTCAATTTCCCTACAAAACACCAAAGTTAAAAAAAAAAAAAAAAAAAAAAAAAAAAAAAAAAAAAAAAAACCAATTTTTTTATAAATAAAAAATGGAATTAGGAAATCAATACACTTTTCCTTAGAAAAAATAATAATAAAGTAATCAAAGGAAGTTTAAACTAGTATAAATATTAGGATATCCATACATGAAAATATACACAAAATTTTAGCAATGAATAAAATAATTTTGTTTTTTTTCTATCTTATTGTCTAAGCTCGTACAAGCATGTCTTCTTGTTCGTTTTCGACACTATGAGCACTCCTAGATATCAAGTTAAATCTTCATCCCGTCGAAAGCTTGGCCGTCGCAAGATCGCTATGCAAAAGATAGAGAAGGAGACCAACCTTCTAGTCACTTTCTCGAAGCGCCGGTCTGGAGTTTTTAAGAAAGCAAGCGAGCTATGCACTTTGACGGGTGCAGAGGATGGCGTCGTAGTGTTTTCTCCTAGTGATAAAGCCCATTCCTTCGGACATCCAAGTACGATTCTGTTTCCAACAAATTCCTTACCCCAGATAATATAAGTGGAGGTGATCAGTGGAGAGAGGGTCGAAATTTGGCTTGGATTCGGCAATACGAGCTCGACCATTTGGCTCGACTGGAAGCAGAGATAGCTGTAGAGAAAGCACGGGACGAAAAATTGCTGAGGATGAGAGAAAATATGATACCATCAGGTATGGAGGGGCTAAGTTATGAGCAACTCAATTGGTTGAGAGGAGTTGTGACCACCTTTGGAAATGACATGGAATCCTTAATGAAGAATATGACTGGTGGAATGCCCGTTGCCACTCGGCCGGCTCCCAATATTGGTACGGATCATCTGTACGAAGTGGGGTCAAGCTCAATGATACCATATGATCAAAGCTCAAGGCCCAATGGAAGTGGCAGCAACCACAACGACGATGGCGGAGGACTATGAAGCTGGTTGGTAATTGTGTGAGACGGATGTTCGGAATAATTTGATGCCTGATTCTCAGAAGCACTATAAGAAAATTGATATTTAGCTACGAAAAATTTTGTAGCAAGATATAACAATTTTGTAGCGAAAAGTCATTTGCGATGAAATGAGTTTCGTCGTATATTTTGTTGCCTATACCACGTCATTAAAGGTCTTTGGCGACAAATTAGTCATTCATAGTGAAAGAGAAGTTTTTTGTAATGAAAGTATATAAATGAAATTTAGCTACAAAAATATAATTTCGTAGTTAAAATTCTTTTGTTATGAAAATAAAATTTCATAGCAAAAGTTACTTTTAGCAACAAAATATGATTTTCGTAGCCAAAGTATTTTAATTATGAAAATAGAGTTTTGTTGCAAAAGAGTGTTAGCACTATAATAGAATTTTCGTAGCCAAATAATTTTAGCTACAAAAATCAAATTTTGTAGAGAAAAGGTATAATTTCATAGCAAAACATTTATAACTACAAAACATAATTTTCATAGCAAAATAATTTTAGCTACAAAAGAAAAATAATAACAAAAGAATTTTGGCTACAAAATTATATTAGCCAACTTCCCAAATAAAATTCCGTATAAAAATTGAAAAAAAAATTAATTCAATAATCCAAGTTTTAACTCTTTTGAAAGAATTAGAAACAACTATACAACCATAAACTGCATAGCCTTTATCACTCAAGGCACCTATAAATATCAATTCCCAAAAGATGAAAAAAATAAATAAATATTAAAAATAAAAATATTGTGCTAAAAGTAAATAGATAAGTCTAGAAATTCTCATTCCGGTACAAATCAATCCAAAAGAAATGATTTATTAGAGGAGGAAATGTCATCGTTGCTGTCCTATAAACTCATCCCACAATTTTATAGATAGTCTTAAACTTCCAAGGAGCTCTCTTCTTTGAAAAGACATGTACATATGGGGTAAGAAAGTCTTCTTGTAATACCCTGTAAAATAATCGTCAGAAGTTTACCGTAGCTCGCCGGAGTCCGACGCCAGAGTCGGACAATATTATTTTGGATTTAATTTATTTTGAACTCTTGGTATAAGAAATTAAATAATTGGATTTAAATGAGGAATAAAAATTAAATTTGGACCAATTTGGGCCCTAAAATAAATAATAAAAGTCAAAGTCTTTTATGTTTAATAAAATATAAAATAAAAGAAAAAAAAAATAGAAGCAGCATGCAGACACGCCAGCCAGCGCCGTCCAGCCCCCCTCTTCTTCCTTAAAATTCTTCTCCTTCAAAACTCTTCCTTTTGGTCTTTGTCTAATCGTAAGTGGGATTAATCTTGATAGATGATATGTTTTAATTCTAGAGACCTTTCTATTGATATTTTTCAAAATTATTTTTAAATAGATTTGTCCTAAAAGTGTTAAAGTTTTGCAAATTTTTACTAGAATGTTGATTACATGTCCCCTAAGGTTTTTGTGAAGATAAATATATTATTTTAAATTAAAAATCGTAGAATTTGTGGAATGAGTTTGAAACCTTAGTTTTGCCCTAACGGATTTATGGTTTTTTTTTAGAAAAGATTTATGCCTATTGGGATGGACATATTTTTCGAATATTTATTTGGCGAAATAAAGTAAAATTATAACGAACTTGTTGGGTTTTCATATTTCACTTTTTGGTTGGTTAAATGTTGGCAATTGGAATGTTTTGAGTTTAAATCTTTCTTTTTTTAAATTTGCCAATAACATGTTGAGTATTGGGTCAAATTGGTAATTGAAACTATCCGTCGAGCCCGATCAACTTGTCGATCGTTTGAATGATAAGGCATAGTCTTCCACCTCTGTGCCTTGCAAACACATGAGAGTATACCGGTATTTTAGAATAACTAGCTAACCTCGAATTAGATTCCGAATGAGCTAGGTTGAGGGATCGAGATGGCGGATTCCCTTTTTGGGTGAATCCTAAGTGCCAGTTATTCACGATGAAAAAGGTCTTTGGACCGTCATCCGTGCTTGGTATGTTATACTGGAGGGTTGTGAGCCGTTAGGCGCCCCTCGCAAACTAATAAATAAATTTATTTACATGTACTTTGAACTTCGAACCTTAGATATATATTGTGGAGTTTTCCTCGAAAGTTGTCTATTTGGTTTGGACTTTGCTTTGTATATTAGTACTTAATTAGTAATTTTATTTTTATATTTATAATAAAATATTATATTTTTATTAAAATATTAAATATATAATATAAAATATTAATAAATTATAATTCGGATTTCGGATTGAATCGAATTTTTAGTATACCGATCCAATCCGATCCGAAAATCCAAAATTTTTAAAATTTGTAATCCGAACCGATCCGAAAATCCAAAAAATCCAAACTAAATTTTAAATTTCAGTTTGGTTTAGATAGGATATTCGGATTCGGATAATTTGCTCCCCTATGTAACTATATAACGTGTCATACGAAGTAATAAGTTTAAAAAACCTGATCGAGCCGGCCCTGATTAAGGCCTAGTGGAGTTTTCTCCGTAATGTGCTCATCACTATTATTAGAAAATGAAAATGAGATATAAGGGAGGCGACTCGTGTGTATGAGTTCCCTTATGTGATATGTGTCATCTTTTTCAATTATCTTCTTCAAATAATTTTGTAGCATTATACCGTATTAATTTATCTTCAATTAATTGCGCTTAATCAACCGTTGTTTTGACCCTCTTCTTACAACCTTTTTATAGGTGATGATGTCTTTGTTATATCTAAATAATGCATCCACGTCATATGATCCATTGGGGGAAACTATAACTACTTTAACTTCTAAAATGCTTTTAAAATTCATTAATTATGTTTAAAAACTAATGTCTTTTAAACTATTTCCAATTTATGTTTTTATTCGAACTCTACTTATTTAATTTATAAGCCGATGCGCTTTAATTCTAAATCCCTATTTAGTTGTTTGTATTTATTGTTTTAGCCTTAGCGCCAAAACTTAAGGCTCGTTGATTGATGAAAGAGATTTCCGGTGTGGCGTGACGGTGACGCTCCGGTTTGAGCCGGCAGGGGTGTTACACTTCTTGTATCACCTACAAAGTAAGCACACAACATCGATAACTAAACGGAGTCCTACACATAGTGAAGCAACAAATAGTAACACAAAAAAAAAATAAAAAAATTGATTCAAATTACACGGGATGAAGGAAAATAACATAGGAAAATATCATATGAAGGAACACATCATAATCATTTGTTCTCCAAAATAAATAAATAGAATTGTTTGTAAAGGTTTGCTAGTAAGGAATGGAAATCATATTTCAAACTTAAGCTTGCATTAGTTAAATGGGAGAAACGCACATATATATCTATAATGTCTTTTAACTCTAAAAAAGTGAGTCAATCAAGAGTAACTAATACACATTAGTCAATACATTGTACTAACTCTGAGCATTATTACAATTTTGGATTCAAATGAGTATGAGAACCTAAAAACTATCATGACTCTCTTATTGGCCAGTTGTAGGCTATATGTTTTATTTCCTTGTAAATGCATGGTGGATTATCCCTCTACGAATGGCTATCAGTCAATTATCAACAACACATTGGCATAAACAGTTTTGCACTAAACCATGTATTGTCTGAAGTCAAAACACAAAGTATACTCTTATCAATGTTAAGAACAAGTAAAGGAAAAAACAAGATAATCATCTCATTCTAAGTTAATACAACAATAACAGTTGTTAGTTTGTATATAGGAAGTTCGCAATGTACTCAATGTAGTAAATATAATGTAAATAGGCCCCTAAAACAATCGGTCAATATTCTAGTTATCGTCTACTCGAATCGATCAACAACTCTTATATTTGGCTTCATATCAGTTAAAAATAACCAACAAAAACATGACACGCATCTCTGAAGAAGAACCATCCAATTTGTTTTAATTTGTTTTTATTTTTAGAGCTATCACAAAGCATATTTAATACCTGAATTATTTTCTGTGTCCTCGGTGAGTGCTCTCCATCTGATCCATCTGCAGAGGAACATCGTTATTTGAATCTATCAAAAAATAAATAAATAAGCATTAAGATTTATTTTATCAAAAGCGAAGGAGAGGAAAAGAAAAGCCGTTACAGTAACCAAAGCCAGGAACATGACCAACCTTGATCAACATATAACATCATCATGAATAGATAACTATAAAGATCAACTGTTTCAAGTACCGTGGAGATAGTAACAAAAAAATCACCACTTACCACTCAAAGCCGAGCCAAAATCACTGTTTGAACTGCAGGACCTGTTTCTGTCACGGAGGGCTTTTATTTGACGCTCAACAAGTGAAGTAAGCTTCGATTCAACTTTGTCCAACAAATTTGCTTTGACTGCTGCTATGTACAAACAGAAAGTAAAGTGGGACCTAAACATAGTCATTGGGACCTAAAATGCATAACACAATTAAACCAAACAGAAAGTAAAGTGCAGAAATATACCTGAGAAATAGTTGCAGTATATTACAATACACTTGGTTGCCCAATAATCTACATTTTAAAGTAAGTTAGAGGTTGGAGTTTATATTCATTATATCCACAATTCTTTTTTCACACAATGAAACTTTAAGGTGAGACAACAAAGAAAGATACCTGTTGAAATAGGACAAGGCCACCACCAATTGTAAGTGCATTCAAGCATTTACCCTGGAACAACTTTGCTATTGGTGCTTCTTTCTCCTTGTGCAAATAAACAAGCTCAATAATAATCCCATCCACTTTCTGAGAAGATGAATCACCAATAGCTTCACCTCTTAGTCTACATAAGCATCTTGCCCTCATACCAACAAACCTTATATAAAGGTCACCAACAAAAATGCACCCCTCGTTGAATAAAGCTCTCTGCATAACATAAGTCTTATGGGAACTAAGTTTGTGATTTGAATCTGCAACGGAACAGTGGCTTCTCATTTAGAGACTATACAATTTCGTGAATGAGCATTTCATATACTATTTTACTTTGTTGAGTTGGATGTGTTATGCAGCTGTAGTTTGAAGCCTTTGATTACATACCTGATACCTAAAGAACGTCAATAGTAATATCCTTACGTGAGCACCTTTGACATCAGGACAAGCATATGAATCAAACAGGAACAAACAAATCATGATGCAAACTATGATATAAGATTCAATCTAAGAAAAATCCAAATTCAACCAATACCGTTCAAAATTTCATAACAGCAAACTTATAAGAAAAATCATGATCGAAAACTCAAAACAGAATCCAAATTAATTCGGCATAAAAGTTCCAAATTAGGACTAATCCACGGAAAAATTGAAATATCTCCACATCCACTGAATCAAAGGAATACCAAACCAATTCGAGCAAAAAATCTCCACAACAGGAGATACAAAACCGTACACCCCAAAATTTACCTTCCACGCCATGTTAAACCCGAGGCGATGGCCAAAAGTACTGCTCCCAATCTTGCAAAGGAAGCACATCGGAGCGGCGACGAGAGCCCCCGCTCTCCTATCCAAACTCACGTAATAGATCGCATAAATCAGGTCAAGAGAAAGCCAGGCGCCTCCGTTCCCCAACTGAATGAGCGAGCACGCGACGACAGGGATAAAATGCAAACAAGCAGGACCATAAAAGTAATCAACCACAAGAAGATCATGTAGATGAAGATGTTAATCGGATTGCTGTGATAGGCGCCATAGAAGTCAAAATGCAACTCTAAATCGGACAATCCCGCCATTTTCGACCTTTCTCGGTTTACCATTTCCCCATTCCGTCGCCGCCGTGTGCGAGTGTGTGTTGTGTGTTTGTGTCGTGGCTTGTGCGGCTGTCCTGTGGATTAGGGCATAAAAATATTTGGTAGGGCCTTACTACATATAAATAAAAGAGTAAACATTCCGATAAATAAATAAATAAATAAATAAATAAAAAAGAAGAGTAAATATCAATATTGGTCTCATTAATTTTTTTTTTTTTTCATTTTTAGTCTCATTAATAAATAATTATCAATAATAAATAATTACGAATATGTTAAAATTTCAACGAAACATGCTCGACAGAACAGAAACTAACATGGCGTATAAAATGGAACAAACACGGCAAAGTTAATTACAATATAAGCATGTTGCTTCAATTAAAAAAATTATTGTTATATTTATATAAACAAGGTGGTGTACATATGAACACGCCCGTGTTCAATATTTTTTATATATCTAGAAATATTCAAATTGAGATAGAAGAAAGGGAGACTTGGTCTGCACTCCCTGTCAGTAATATAGAATTTATATTCAGTCCCCATTATTAAAAAATTGATCTGCACTCCCTCCTTTTCAGTATTGATTTAGATTTAATCCCTATTTTTTTATTTTTTCATTAAATAGTATAGTATAAATATGATGTACCCTTAAAATATATTTAAATACTTTTAATATTTTTTATATACTTATAACACATTCTGCTCTACCTATACTACGTCTCGCTCTACCTAAATTGTTCTACTATATACCTTTATTTATGTTTTGTGTACTTTTGTATGTGTATTTAAAAAATAATAATAATAATAATAATAAATAATTATAATTATGTTTTATTATGGGATGAAACAAAAAAAAACAATTACATACTTCTCATTCTCGTTCATGTACCACAATATATTGAAATTTTTCCTCCTTCATGCAATCGATCGCTCTTATTTCCCCTCAAATTTATTCATATTCATTGAGATTTCTAAATTTGCACTAAAATTATTGTATTATCGGAATCTAATTGTAAAAATAAAATGTACATAATATAAAAATTACAATATGACTAATTTATTGAAATACAATCCAAAATTGATGCGTAGAATTTAAATAAAATCATGATATGTGTATATATATATATATGTGTATGTATATATTCATTCAATCAATAGAATTGCAAATTTATATTAAAAAAAAATTGCAATAGAAAATTAAATATATAGATTTTAAATACAACAATGATTATATATATCATTTTATCAATATTAGTTTACTTACTCCTTTAATTCTATCTATAAAATGAAAAAATTTGATGTTAATAATTTATATTATTTTTGTACAAAATTCATAATTATATTTAATATAATACTCCCTATGTCCCAAAAGAGATGTCTTACTGGGTGTTGACACGGGAATTAAGAAATAATAGTATTTAATTAAAAGTAGGATATAAAATAGAATATAAAAGACTAAAAATTCTTTACTTTTTGAACGATTTTAAAAGTATGGTAGAGTAATAACTATGGGTAGTTTGGAAAAGTAGAAATAATTTTGTTATAAAGTGGAGACCACGGTTACTAAATAAAGGAAATAAGACAATTGTTTTGAGATGAACGAAAATGAAAAAACAAGACAACTCTTTTGGAACGGAGGAAGTATAAAATATTACGTAAATATTATAAAAATATTATATATAATATAAACTTTATCATATGATTCAATATAATATTAGCACAATAAATATCTATCTATCTATATATATATAATTATTCTATTCTTTTTTTTAAATATTAATACTAGTAATAAAATTTATTTATAGTATTTTATATATTTTAAATACTTACTATGTATAAAGATTAGGGTTCGTTTGTTTTGTGTTTTGATTTGAAAGAATTTTTTTTTTTTATGTGAAATATAAAAATATATATAGATAATATAAATATCATGAGTGTGCGTAAATATATTAATTTTTGTAAAAAAATATGTTGAAATTTTTTCAAAAAACAAACAAATCCTTATTCTATAGAAAATATATATATATTTTTTAATCTTTACTAATATTTTTATTTTTTTATTCTAAAACGTGAAAATAAAATAAATATAAATATAGTTTTATTAAAAAAAGTAAATTAATTTTTTAAAAGAATTAATAAAAACAGATAGAGTCATTTTTTTTTCTTATTCAACAATTCTAATTATAATAATACACCTAAAAAGTAAATATATAAAAAATAAATTATTTAAATACGCATTCTAAATATTTATGCATATATCATTTTAACATTTATGCATATATCAGTTTAACATTCATGCATATACCCCACTGATAGAGGTAGTGGTATCACAGAGTGCTTTAATTGTCTTCTTCGTTGGGAGATTGATTGATATCAACTACATTTTAAAATACCTATAGCTATATATATATAATATTTAATTAACCACCAATTATACATTGACTACCGGTGTTTGTACCTCGAGGATATTGTTGCATATGTGCACTAAAGATATACCCTAGTGTAAGTATTATGTACTTGCAATATAAAGTCATATGCTCCGCTAACGCGTATATATGCTCTGGTTATATATGGTAGGAAAAATGGATCGTGTTCGGTTCAACATATTCAATTGCTCTTAGTAACCAGAGATAAATTCATCATTATTGTGTTCTCACGACTCCCTGACATGTAAGTAAAGAAAAGAACACATGTTTACTATAGATGGCCAAACAAGTAAGAAATGACGTTGTTAAGTTTGTTGGTTGTTACTCATGCATCACTACTCTCACAAATTGGTTATTTTTTAGACATATTGCGTAGTAATCCACACCGTAACACACACAACAACATTTATTCACCAAGGCTGAGAGAGGAAGTGTTCTCACCAAGTATGCGAATTGGCCCTCTCCATAAAAATAACTGAAATTAACTACACTTGAAGATACCTGATAATACACAAATAATACCTAAGAAACCATTATTTATACCTCGCATGTAGGTGTTTGTACCCAGATCACATTCTTATGTACATACATAAAATATCGACATACCCTAGCGCGGATCTTAACTACTTATAATAATAGTCTCATATGCTTCAGTAAAGAGTATATATGCTCCAATAACATGTGGTTGGAGAACAATAATTTTTTGTTCAAAATATTCATTTGTTGACGGTAACTAAGGATGCGATCATTATCATAATCTTCCTGTGACACCTCAAATTGTCAGAAAAGGTAAACAACACATATTTATTATGAATGGTTAACCAAGTAAAAAATGACTTGGATAAGTTGTATGATATATGTACTATTATAGTCCAACATCAACTAGTAGATGTCTAATAAAGTCATAAGTGACTAAATTGAATTATATTGGTCGTTAGAGTACATGATTGCTATCACAAATTGAAAATATTTAGATCTATTACATATTAATTCACACCGTAGCACACACAACAATTTTTGGTCAAGGGCATCTAAGCATAGGGTATGACTCGGCTAAGCAGGTGAGTATTCTAGAGTAGCTATGTTGTACCTCCAACCTGGTTATATCAGGTACACCAAAACAGTTCAAACCGTCAGTTACGGTTTATCAAAATGTCAAACCGAAACCGAACCTTCTGAATGACGGTTTCGATTGCAGTTTAAAAAACTGACGGTTACGGTTTGAACCGCCGATCTATGTACATTCATTTTTAATATTTTTTTTCCTTTTTAAGTTTTTCTAAATTTAAAAATTTATTCAAAAATATTATTTTCGATTTTAATTTCATTCAGATATATTTATTATTTATTTATTATGTAAAATCATATAAATAATAATTGCTAAGATTGTTACAATATAAAAGTAATTAAAATAATAAATTTACTAAGTAATTAAATCAAATTAAATTTTAGATTAAAATAAACAAAATTAAATTTTAAATTAAAATAAAAAAAATTAAATTTTAAGAAATTGATGTGTATTAGATAATAAGATAGTTTCAATTAAATATAATTGTATGATAAGTAATACAAAATCTAAAATATAAATAACCAAAATAATGTATATTATTATTATATAATTAGTAATTATTTATTTTTATTAATATTAATATTATCTTTATTTTTATAACAATTTAATGATATATAGTAATTTCAATTACAAGTATATAATATACAATTTTAGCTTAGAACATCCACTCTCCACATTCCACCGCAGCTACAGTTGCAAGGGTTCGTTTTTCGTTTTTTTTTTTTTTTTTTGTATTTTCTTCTTTTTCATATTTTTTTTCTTCTTTCCTCCTGCTTCTTCTTCACTATCGCCGCCCGCCCATAGCATTCTATAATCCACAATCGCAGCCGGCGTGCAGGTTTAAAATTAAAAAGAAAAAAATAATGGCCGAACCGTCGGTTGAAACCGTAAACCGGAGGTTTGAACCAGCCGTTTGCACTTTGACAAATATATAAACCGTAACAAGAGGTTCGAAAACTGGTAAACCGAAGATTTGGAGCTACGTGGACAAATTTAAATAGAATGTGTTGTAAGTATATAAAATAAATTTGGAAGCATTTAAAGATATTCTAGAGGTACATTCAATTTTTATTTGAGAAAATCTAAAACAGGGACTAATATTAAACTAAATATGTAAAGGAGGGAGTACAGACCAATTATTTTAAAATAGGGACTGAATTATAATTGAACACTACCTATAGGGAGGGCAGACCAATTGTGCGTAGAAAAAATGGGTAATAATGGTGATGTGACCTTACATCAATCGTAATGACTACATATCATATTCTACCTGCATTTTACTTGAGTATTTATAATTTTTTATTTATTTTATTTTATTTTACATAATAATATAAATATAATTTTTTATTTTTTATTTTTATATTATATATAAAAAATATTTTATATAAAATAATACCCTCTCCGTCCCACGAACCATGTTCACGTTGTCGTCTTTTATATTTCATGCAACTTTCTTTTTTTTAAAAAAATAATTACACACTTTAATCTCATTTTAAATTTTTTAATTTATTTTTTTAATTTTAATTAAACTAATTAGTTATGTTAATCTTAATTTATAATTATTTATACTATAAAATAATT